CAGCTCTTGCGGATGTTCTTCAGGCAGCAGGAGGAATTGCGGCGACTGAAGGATGAAGTTACGCAGAAGGACATTAAGATTCGACAGCTTGAGCTGGAGCTCAATAACATAAGGAACAGCCCAAACATCAACAACAATAACAACAGCAGCAGCAATGGTAGCAGCATTTGACACTGGATCTGTGCTGTGTCTTTTGATCTCCTAAAGTGACACACTATAAGCCCTGAGCGCTGCTGAAACACACGGGCTTCCTTTTCCTAAAACCAAGACCTCAGGAGAGCAAGCGCTTGTCTTCATAAAGCAGTGTTTCACTCTGACCTCCAGTGTTGACCCCACAGTTGCTGTGTGCTAAGTCGACTTTATTGGAGTGATGATTCACTAACCCTGTGAAAACTGTCCCATTACATGAGCTTCAGTCACACTGTTGGTCCACCTGCAGTGGACTGATTCTCTCTATATGGATTGGTTTTGGTACAAGCTACTCATTGCATTATCATCTCATTATTGTAGACTTCACTAGATTGAATTATTAGAATTATTTATTTCATTTTTTTTCTTTGTGCTACTTAGCCTTGTTCTAAATAGCTTAATAATCTCCATGTAGAGAATAAACGTGTTTTAATAAGGTCAAACAGACATGCTTCACCCATCAAGCTGTTATCTCATGTAAACACTAGGTCTATTGCATTATTTTTATATGACCAACAGTGCTGTTTTAATGTAGAAACTCAAACACCACAGTGCAGTAATCTTACACCACAGATGATATTTATCGAATTGACATGCTCCTAAATCTAGAAGTATTGGGTTTTACTAATATAAGTTGGGGACTGTGTTGCTTCACATAATTTATGTGAAATATGTTCAAGTCAGTTTATGAACGCAATTCAAATGGGTTTTTAAGTTAAATAAAGTTCAGAATAATTTCATAATTAATTTTGAAAAATCACACTTTGCACCTGATGAAAACATAAAAGTCCACAAATTGTAAAATGCAATTATGAAATGAATTAGTAATAGACGTCGTATTAGAGACCTACACTGTAGTTCCGTAGGAAAGTCAATTTTGAAGAGAACGTGAGAAAAAGAACGTTCAACGACTTAAAGAATGAGACACAGAAATTGTTACATTTTTTGATTCTGAAAGTTGAATGAATGGCAATATTTAATTTTAAAGACTTACTGTGATTTATAAAGCATAATTTTACTTTTTTATTAAATTTTAAATCAAACATATTTATTGATTTCCATTTTCAGTTCATACTTTTAAGTAAAGTGTCTTGAGTTTTCAGGTTTGTAGCTTGTAACCATGAATTTACTGTAGCCTTATCGTCCTGTTACATTCAGATTATTGACCTCTTAAATAGCTTCTTAGATTGGATGTAAACTCTTATAAAGTGCATTGTATTCAGCTTTGAACTTTCAGTGTAAACCCTTTCAAATTTTTTATTGTAAAGTGGACAAATTCTTTGCAGGCAAATACATTATGCGCCACGAAACACTACAGGTGCAGTCACGCTCTCTCTTCAGTGCGCGCTGCTCTCTAGAAGTTACCCTATTAATTATGATTTAAAACATTGATTTTGCCCAGAACAAACTGGACCAGCTCAAAAAAAATAAAAAATTTGGACGGCACATTTACTGGAGCACCTATGAGCTAATGTGTTAACATGTTATCCCTTTTAAAATATATTTATAATCTGATTCCCAAATGAACTAATGATCGCTCGACCAGCACGGAAAGCAAAGTCGGTCCACCTCTGAATTCAGACATTGTGTGTTTGACATTTTCCTGCTGTTTAATGAAAACACTATGAGCCTCAAACATTGTAAATATTTTGCTTCATAAAACAATAACACAAACCCCAGCATCTTCTGCTTTGTCATTGCATAGTAATAGCGCGTTTTGAGGTAAAGTGCACTTTAGGTATTCGGACATTAGGGGGCGGTAAAGCCACAGTCTTGCTCATGTCAGCACGTACTACAGCAAGGCCTACACTTGCCATGAAACAGACTACACAGCATCCTCTTAACATGATAAAGAGCAGTTCAGACACAAGCAGTACTGCTTAAAGGGATAGTTCACCTTTAGTTGCTGGTCTCCATTGACTTAGTGTTTTTTTTCCATACTATGGAAGTCAATAGGAACCAGCAACTGAAGGTGAACTATCCCTTTAAGGAACACTGGGTAATAATAACAATAGGCCTACTTAAATGGGCCAAACTGAGGAACAGGTTGTTTATGTGGCCTGTAGCTACATTCCAAATCGTATGCCTGATAATTGTGCATCATTGAAGATGTTGAGGTGGATATTAATTTGTTCACAGTGTGAAGTGCCAGAATATTTGTTTTACTCAGGCCCCTTTCATTTGGTGTTAGATAAGTCGCTCACTGCCTACACAAGCACAATTAATGTTGAAATATTTCGTGCTGACAGTGCCTAAAGAATTATGAGGCAAGACATTAGACTAACCTTTGTCTTTGATTAAAATGAAGAGCATTAATAGGTTATCACTACTCTGTATTTCACTTCATTATGATTAACTAACTACAGCATGTTGCACAAAAGGTAATTGCATACAAAGTAAAAACCTCTTCCCGAGAAAGAATCCTGTAATGTGTGGAGCCGAATTTACTCAAATGGTACATCAAATCTGTCTAGACTGAGACTAGCTCAATTTACCTTATGATCTCACGCTCACAAACTGGCAATCTGTCCACACAGATCATAAGAAACACCTCAGTTACACTATACGCAATGCTTTCATGCTCATGTTAGCAAGGCACATGCTTGTACAGTAAATATTAATTGGAACAAAAATGCTGACTTTTATTCATGTGAAATCTGAAGTCATCTTTTTAATAAAAATTTCAATCAGTATGACCTGACAACTGGACACAGCTCAGTTAAAATTGCATATGTGTTCTATTTAAATTGGCATGATGCTTCTGAATATTTACACAATATTCAGTCACGTATCATCAAAAAAAAACAAGCTATTTTCCCTGAGCTTCACAATGCAATTTCACTTCATATATTCAATTAACCCGCTATATCAGTGGCGAGGTCATATACACTTGCCATCTCTGCACAAGACTTCAAATACATAACTTGTTGATCAAGTATGTAATCACATCCAATTACAATGTGTGGATTTTCTGTGGCTGTCAGAACAGAGAACTTCAAACTACCATAGAGCCCGTTGCGTTTTCATTCATTTTATTACAGTTAATGGTTACAACTGAGATTATTTGTGAAAATGTCTGCCATTATCAAAGGGAATCAGAAAAAAAATATATTTGGTCATTATTTACAAAGAACACAAAACCTCTGAACTATCCACACAAAAGGGAGAAGGGGTTTAGGGCTCATTTGACAAGGGCAGACATTCGGCTCTGAACATTAAAAAATAAAATTAAAATTAAAATCACATTGAGAGGTTGTGCCGTGCATGTCCAAGCAGACATCATGATGCATTCTTCATGCCTAAACAGCACGTCACATGGTGGTGGCGGTGATGAAAACACCAAAGAAACAAAATACACAAATAAAAGATGCAATAAAAAAGTGGGTTAGAAAATGTTCTTCCTTGAAATCCAGTAGTCAACTTTAAAATAGAGTCAGCCATGCACTTCTAAAAGGTTTTTGGTTGTTTTTTCTTTTTTAATACATAAGTCATCACCAGCATTTAGGCATCAACAGTAAAGACAAGGGGAAAATTACAAGAGCATACTGGTCTTTTTTTTCCAACAATAATAATTTTCCACACGGTGTTGTCAGCCATTTGAAGAACTTTTGGCGAAAATGAAGGGAATCAAACTGAAAGTACAAACCAAACCAAAAGAAAACAACAACAACATCAACAACAAAAAAGCTAAAAACAAATATTTAATCTTTATACTAACCCACCCCCTACCATTTGAAAACCTCCCCAAACCATCGCAGAGTGACAATAGGACAGATATACAGGGGTTAAACGGTCAGATCACAATAGGGGGAGTGCATGTTCAGTCATCATCTTCCTCCCCTTCCTCATCCAGCTCTCTTTTCCTCTTCTGACCCCGCTCCTCCTCTGTAAACACAACACAGGAGATACCAGATGTTTTGTTTACTCTTACTCTCACCCTGCTTACCAGCATTCAACAGGTGCTGGTAACCCTTCGAACTTTACAAACACTTCATCTATTCACTTACCAATGTCTTCCTCATCATCTACCTCGCCATCATGTAACTCTTCTTCCTCCTCTTCCTAAAAGCATGTGAAAAAGGCACATATTGACACCATATACGTGTATTTGTAAACAAAAAAGGAACCATCATTATTTTCCGGCATTAACCTCTCCGCTGATGTCCTCTTCTTCCTCCTCTTCCTCATCATCCTCCTCTCCCTCCTCTTCATCTTCATCTCCTGGAGCTGCATCTTCATCATACTCCTCCTCTTCTCCCTCTGCAGACAAAATTAGGTCAATGACAAATTAATTCCTTGATCTCAATTTAAAAAACTGAGAAACCTCAAAGCACTGTCAGTCAGACTCTTCACAAACATACCATCTTCATCATCCTCATCATCATCTAGGCCTTCGACGTAAGCTTCGGCGTCAGAGTCGGGTGCTTCTTTATCCTCTTTGTCATAGCCGTCGAGGTACGTCAACTGAGGGAGCAGCTTGAAAACATTTTCTCTGTAGTCATTCAGGTTTGTCACCTCACAGTTGAACAAGTCTAAACTTTTGAGGCTTTCCAATTTTTTCTGTTGGGAAAAAGACAGGAGAACAAATTAATAACAATACTAAATTGTTTTTATTTTTATCATTTCAAGCCATCTAAAATTCAAGTCAGGCAACAACATTATTTAGATGTGTTATTCAAGAACATTAATAATAGTAGTGCTTGAAAGTCTCTCAACAGTGTTATCAGTGAGCGTATACATAAATTATTAAAATATATTCATCACTAAGTTGATAAACTCCACTAGTTATGACTCCAATGATACTATAAACACATCTTACCAGGGGTTCGATGGTGCTGAGGTCTTTAATTTTGTTGCCGCTGAGGTTGAGATGAGTGAGGTTGGGACATTTCTCTGCCAGTACCTCCAGACCCCCTGAGATTCTGTTATCGCTAAGCTCGAGCTGTGCAAAACATGATTCAGTGCCATATTAATAAGACTGGCAAAGACTTCATACAATCCCAAAATATATTTCTGATACTACTGTAGTAGTAGACAACGCATCTATTACCTTTTTGAGTTTGTTTAGCTTCGGCAAATTGGCGACTGATGTTAAGCCTACGTTGATTGTGCTTAAAAATTCCAGTTCCTCAAACTCATCAGTGAGGCCCTCAATTTTGCCCTCGTTTGACCGACAATTGTCGAGCACGAGCTCTTTCACCTGTTAAAGGGCACATAAGATGAAATGTTATTATTAACGAATACAGCATTTGTTAGTCTCCACCTGAGCAACTTCAAACTAATGGGGAGGTGGACAACGCCCTTAAATTCAGTCACATCAGGGCTGTTTCTAACTTTTGCAGCATGCCAAGAGCACTGTGTTTGTCTTTATGTTCACCCAACAAAAGGGCATAAAATATGCTCACAATTGGAAATAAAACTAAGGAAACTACCTATTGTTATCAGCAATTACTTAGAACAAACAGAAAAACAGCGTCCATTCTTAACAAAATATGAATATGTTAATCAGATTAGAATGAGAAAAATAAAGAGCACAAATAAACACGTCGCCACGACCGAATCGGGCGCCATGCAGTTGTAAAGTTTACTTCAGCATGCGCTCTACAGCACCAGATAGGGGATGTTTCGGTGCTTTTACAACATCTCACATTTGACTCCCTATCCAACAAAATGGCTGACTCCGCAACAAGTGGCGTACATTGTTTTCCTGGGAGGTAACGTTAGAGCATTTTTACTATAGTGCGTGCTCGAACAGCAAGGTAAAGACGCGTAAACGATAGCCTGGGTGTTACACAAATGCATTACATTGTCTTGGAAAAGCAAAGACACGAGGACGGACCCAAGAATTCACGAGTAGGAGGGGCAGAGAGGCGCATGATAATGCAAGTCGCTCTTTAAGCGAAAGGTATTGACTTTCACGGAATAAAAATGAAATTTCAGGCTTCGTACACGCGCGACTCTCTATATTCAACGGTTCTGTTCGGTTCAAAGCATTGAAACGGCGGCAACGATTATCTGCTCGATTAAATATCGTGCGTCTTTGTTGCTGGTTAAAATGGCGGCTTGTCCTAGATCTTGCAACTAGAGCAGCGCAGCTTCAAGTTGCGTAGCACTCACATAAGCGCCCAGTCTGTCAACAACAAGCAGAGACACACGGCTGAAAATCACTTTATCCTGCCAGTGGAGACGCACAGAAGTGCTCAGAATACGGTTATGACATTTTAATTACGAGTTCTATTACAGCGTATGTAGGTACAGGGGCAATAGCAGGGACCTTGATAACGTTGCACTGAATTGATCAGACATGGTAGTTATATTTGCGGGAATCGATAAATAGTAAGAAAAACACGGAGGATATTTATGAAAGAGAGAGTGCCGATTTGCTCTTTGCATTCCGGCAATGTCGTCGACAAATAATGCAGTTTTAAATAGGTTTGAGCACCTTTACGCAACTAGATATGCTGTGACACGATTCCTTTCTATACCGCGACCGAACAACATATGCGCTCGTTTTCCAAATCCAAATCAAATAGGCGAATATTAGTAACGTGCTAGAAGCCCTCGAAAAGATCCCGCCTAAGTAATTACACAACTTTTCTTTGATTGAGAAACGTAAATGCTTTCGATTTAGACTTAAATCCCTCAATAAAAGCCTTTTGCTGGAGAGATGGCACGAAGTGTATTTGACCGATCGGGTTATCGCAAGCTATCTGTCAAATCGCCTGCACAGCAATTCACAAAAATGCGTCCCACAACAAGTTAGCGAACTGGCCAACGACCACTGTTACTGGCGAGTATGAATGTTGAATTGAAAATGGATGTGCGAAAGTGTGAGAGAGGCATGAACTGACGGCAGGCGACTTTTGCAGCACTGAGGATGCAAAGGAAAAGGGCGCGTTCAGGGGCTACAAAGTTACAAATATGGCTTCTCACGCCGCTTCCCTTGTTTATATATATATATATATATATACACACACACATATCAAATAGGCGACTATTAGTAACGTGCAAGAAGCCCACGAAAAGATCCCGCCTAAGTATTTACACAACTTTCTTTGATTAAGAAACGGAAATGCTTTCGATTTAGACTCAAATTCGTCAATAAAAGCCTTTTGCTGGAGAGATGCCACGAAATGTATTTGACCGATCGGGTTATCGCAAACTATCGGTCAAATCGTCTGCACAGCAATTCACAAAAATGCGTCCCACAACAAGTTAGCGAACTGGCCGACGACCACTGTGACTGGCGAGTATGAATGTTGAATTGAAAATGGATGTGCGAAAGTGTGAGAGAGGCATGAACTGACGGCAGGCGACTTTTGCAGCACTGAGGATGCAAAGGAAAAGGGCGCGTTCAGGGGCTACAAAGTTACAAATATGGCTTCTCACGCCGCTTCCCTTGTGTATACACTGAATGCATGGAGCTCTTGCAGTTTCCGACCACAGCATCATCAAAAGGTCTCGCGAAAGTTGGGAAAAAATAATCAGTAAAACTGTTAAACTTATAGGCCACACTGAGATAACGATATCCAAGGCTCTAGGCTTGTAACAAAGTCGCCGCAAACTTTTCATTCAAGACATCAACTTGAAGCGTGCACATCTAGCGTTTTCCATCCACGCAGAACTACTCTAACCAACAGTTTTTATTAAAATCATATCACTCAGCAATTAATAAAGATGCTTACGTCTGACGGCGTCCGGTTCCGCAACTCCAGGTGAATTCTCTTTTTCATATCCATCTTATTGAACTCTAAATGAGTGATTTAAACCAAAGAGCGCAGTTAGACTTGGAGTCTTTGCTGCACATTCAGCTATAGCCTCTTAAACTAGCTATTGCGAGTCAAACAAACTTGATGTCTCGGAGGGTGGGAGTTGGGTGTGGGATTGTCGTCACCGGTGACCAATTAGAAGCGCGGAATGGAATGTGAAAACACTCACAGCGACACTGACGACCAATCAGCGGTCGATCAGAAACTGGGTGGGGTTACAGGAACTGTTCGGTTGATCCAGCGAATCTGTTTTAGGGTGACATCTATGCGATAAAATCAACCGAACTGTCGAAGGCGCAGAGACTAAACGGGTATGGCTAGTTACTTTAGTTTTAAGTGGCTTTATCCACACTTAGACCAGGATATAGGCGTTATAGGACTACAGAGACATTTTGAAATAAGCTGGCGTGTTGGTTACAATAAATGCAACGGTCGTGTAAGAGAGGGCTGTACACGTGTTAAATATTTTGTCAAACTACTGCTTTCTGTCTCGAAGCACACAGTTTCCTGGCATGTAAGTACAGTCACTTTGGACAGATGGATTGGTAGACCGTCAGGAAAACACGACCCCTCCCCCTTTTGGAGGGAACGTACGGTGGCGTCCACTGAGGCTATCTGCGCTAAAATCTTTATTTCTTTCGTAGTTTACGCAGTAAACAAGGGATTTCTCTCACTGCATCTCACAAAAAAGGGGTTTCGTGCAATGAAAGTTTTAAACGAGTTAGTCCTGTGTATATAAACGCTACTATGTAAATATTGATTTAAACTGATAAAGCATAATATTTCAGCGCGAACCAAGGAACGGTTGCATAACAAAATGCACTAGACAAAACATATAAAAGCCTTTTGCTGGAGAGATGGCACGAAGTGTATTTGACCGATCGGGTTATCGCAAGCTATCTGTCAAATCGCCTGCACAGCAATTCACAAAAATGCGTCCCACAACAAGTTAGCGAACTGGCCGACGACCACTGTGACTGGCGAGTATGAATGTTGAATTGAAAATGGATGTGCGAAAGTGTGAGAGAGGCATGAACTGACGGCAGGCGACTTTTGCAGCACTGAGGATGCAAAGGAAAAGGGCGCGTTCAGGGGCTACAAAGTTACAAATATGGCTTCTCACGCCGCTTCCCTTGTGTATACACTGAATGCATGGAGCTCTTGCAGTTTCCGACCACAGCATCATCAAAAGGTCTCGCGAAAGTTGGGAAAAAATAATCAGTAAAACTGTTAAACTTATAGGCCACACTGAGATAACGATATCCAAGGCTCTAGGCTTGTAACAAAGTCGCCGCAAACTTTTCATTCAAGACATCAACTTGAAGCGTGCACATCTAGCGTTTTCCATCCACGCAGAACTACTCTAACCAACAGTTTTTATTAAAATCATATCACTCAGCAATTAATAAAGATGCTTACGTCTGACGGCGTCCGGTTCCGCAACTCCAGGTGAATTCTCTTTTTCATATCCATCTTATTGAACTCTAAATGAGTGATTTAAACCAAAGAGCGCAGTTAGACTTGGAGTCTTTGCTGCACATTCAGCTATAGCCTCTTAAACTAGCTATTGCGAGTCTCACAAACTTGATGTCTCGGTGGGTGGGAGTTGGGTGTGGGATTGTCGTCACTGGTGACCAATTAGAAGCGCGGAATGGAATGTGAAAACACTCACAGCGACACTGACGACCAATCAGCGGTCGATCACAAACTGGGTGGGGTTACAGGAACTATTAGGTTGATCCACCGAACGTGTTTTAGGGTGACATCTATGCGATAAAATCAACTGAACTGTCGAAGGCGCAGAGACTAAACAGGGGTATGGTAGTTATTTTAGTTTAGAGTGGGTTTATCCACACTTAGACCAGGATATAGGCGTTATAGGACTACAGAGACATTTTGAAATAAGCTGGCGTGTTGGTTACAATAAATGCAACGGTCGTGTAAGAGAGGGCTGTACACGTGTTAAATATTTTGTCAAACTACTGCTTTCTGTCTCGAAGCACACAGTTTCCTGGCATGTAAGTACAGTCACTTTGGACAGATGGATTGGTAGACCGTCAGGAAAACACGACCCCTCCCCCTTTTGGAGGGAACGTACGGTGGCGTCCACTGAGGCTATCTGCGCTAAAATCTTTATTTCTTTCGTAGTTTACGCAGTAAACAAGGGATTTCTCTCACTGCATCTCACAAAAAAGGGGTTTCGTGCAATGAAAGTTTTAAACGAGTTAGTCCTGTGTATATAAACGCTACTATGTAAATATTGATTTAAACTGATAAAGCATAATATTTCAGCGCGAACCAAGGAACGGTTGCATAACAAAATGCACTAGACAAAACATGTATACAAAGCGAAAAGCAGTGATACGATATACATCCGCGTAGTTTAATTATTCCAAACGAGCCCCGCTATGGCAGAGCCCATAAGTTACCGGTAGCCACTGGTCTTATTCAAAACACGTTTGTCACATGCACTTGACTGCCACATCGCAAACTCCAACCACGGGCCCACGCTTTTCCCTATATATAAACAATGATATGTAAATAGTAGCCTATAATGGTTTAAACAGACGAAGCATAGTATTTCAACGCGAACCAGGGAATGGTTGCATAACAAAATGCACTAGACAAAACATACGAAAGCACGCCATCTATAAGGCGAAAAGTGGTGATACGACATACATCGACGTAGTTTAATTATTACAAACGAGCCCAGCTATGGCAGAGACCATAAGTTACCAGTAGCCACTGGTCTTACTAAAAACAAGTTTGTCACATGCACTTGACTGCCACATCGCACACTCCAACCACGGGCCCACGCTTTCCCCTACAGTTCAAACCAGCCAATCGTATTTCAGGGGGAGCATTCACTTCCGCTTCTTGCTTTGACTATTGTTGGTATGGAGGTGGAAAAAACAAGGTCACCTGACTGTGCCCGTCGCCATCTTGATTCGCAAAATACAACACATTCAAATAATTATAATACCATTTATTGACTCTTAAAACGAACAAAAAGCAATAGACTTTACCTATATTTGATGTCATGTCTGTGTGTCGCTCCGCTACCCCTTAGAAAAAAAACTGCAGAGCAACCGCTTGGCGCATGATTGTTTTCACAAGTGCACCGGCTGGGTTGTTTGTTGAGAGCGCATTTCACTGGCGACTCTGTCGTTTTACAACGTTATTTCGAAATCACTTCATACCAGGACATTTTGCCCTTGAAGAAAACAGAAAAAAATCTTCTCTCGATCTGGCCACTGACGCCAACCCGCGCAAGCGGGCTATTCTCAAGCCCTTTTGATTGTACTTGCGCATTAGTTGAGACCATTTTTCCTCTGGGTGTGTCTCACTCGTTGTCTGAACGCCCTTGCTAGCAGTACTGCATCAACTGTGTGTGTGTGTGTGTGTGTGTGTGTGCGGATTTCATTGCAGAGTGCGTGCACGATGTGCGCAGAGCCAAATCGTATTCGCACGCTTTGTGGCACACAGTCGCTCCTTTTCACACCACCAACGGCTAGCTTTTGTGCGTGAATGGCGAGGAACGTCATAAGGACAGAACGTGCACCAATATGTTTGCTCATGCAAGCCAGAAATCACATTCAGGAGACTATTTCTTTCGCGGAAGACTTTATCGTTTTTACAGTTACAATGAAGACCGCGTGTATCCTGTGACTCGCCGAGAAGGGTTAGATATTTGAATAAAAGGTATTTGGAAAAACGTGGGGTTGTTTTAAGAGGACAGATGGATTGATGAGCATTTGCACCATCTGCTATTATGCTAAAAGTGGTGCAAAGGATCAGCTCGTGACGTGTTCAATCATCAACCTTGATCATTCATGTCAGTGTCACTTTACAACAATGCTTTTCTTTTTATTACCATCTTCGTTACACGAGATCAGTTATTTTGTGAGGCAGTGTCAGAGGCATTCACGGTGTTTTACAAAACTGGAGTAGCATGTGTCAAGTTTTATTTGTCACAGCAGCACTGTACATGCAAAAATGAGTTCAGACAACAGTGCAAATCAATAGGGCAGAACCCCTGTTTCTGAATCATAATGTCACAAATGCATAGTTCTTGCCACTCACACTACTGTATAAGTAATACATACTTCATGACAAAAAAAATAACAATAATAATAATCCAATTATTTACTCTGTCCAGAAATTAGTCGTAGCTAGACTTCTGTAACTATGCCATAAAAGAATTACCAGACCACTAGTATGGCAGCTTATCTACCTGTTATATTTAAACAAATCCTTATTTGGATCACACAATTGCAAATAATAATAATTTATATATATATATATATATATATATATATACAGTATACACACACATACAATTATTATTTTCGAATATGTACTGTGCTTGTTGATTTGACTAATGTTTCAGGGCGTTTCTGAACTGACCTGGGACTGTAAATAAAGAAACTTTAGTAAAGATCTGACTAGTTTTCTAAATGACATCCTAACTGAAAATGTTTCTGTAATGCCCCTGGTATATTATTTTGACTGTGTTAGCACTGTTTTCACAACTGGTGAAAGACTTCCTACTAATTGTATTAGTGATCCCATAAACTCTTGCGGCCTTAGCTACCTGCTAAATCCTGCCTAAGTTTTTTTGCACATTTTTGATGTTTTGCTCTTTGTTAAGAAAGCACTGGATAAGAACATACTAGTGCTGGGCAACAATTAATCGCATACAAAATAAAAGATTTTGTTTACATAGTATATGTGTGTACTGTGTATAGTTATTATGTATATATAAATACACACACATGTATGTATGTATAAATATATATATATATTATGTTTATATATTAAATATATTTATATATAATATAAATTATATGAATATAAATATATACATGTAAATATTTTCAAAATATATACTGTATGTGTGTGTGTATTAATAAATATACACAGTACAGACATATATTATGTATGTAAACAAAAACTTTTATTTTTGGATGCGTTTAATCGCGATTAATCGTTGCCCAGCACTAGAACATACATGTAAATGGAAAGATTTGGGTAGTATTCAGTACAGGCTAGTGTGAATGTATAAATTCCGGGACTGTTTCAGCATACTATAGGAGAAGCTGCTTTTTGTACCAACTGGAGTCGCTTTATGATTTGAAGCATCTCCTAGATTGACAGTAAGCTTGTCCCCACACTTCATCCCTTTTGTATCATGCAGGGCATTGATTGAGGGCAGCTTACAGCCAGTGTGAGAATGCATGCAAAATTGAAGCGGGAAACATTTGCATGGAGAACATCCTGTTTTACACTCTGTGAAGGTGGTCTCATGATGGAGTTATGACACTGGCCTTTAGAAACTCGACTGTCTCAAAAATAGCTATGTATCAATAACAAGTTAATTTAATATGATGAGATATGCATTTGCATAAATAAATATAACAACTGTTTTTTAGATACAGATGATACAGCACAAGGCCTCTAATCTGATTTAGTAAATTTTTGAAGTGTGCTGTTGAGAGCTCACTTTGATCATTTAAGGTCCACTAAACACAATTATTCAGAAAAAAATATGGGTGAAAGACAGTGACCTAAATGCTGCCCCATGTGTTAGGTTGTATAACCATCTTTGTCAACATGTCTAAAGGTTGCATTCTCCTGAAACACCACTAGATGATAGCCTTTCATAGGCTGAAAACTATAACTAGGTGAACCTAATGTTACTACTGCGTTAGATTATGATTTATGGATGAATCATGAAAATACGTTGATGGTTTTTTTTTCTAATTCATATTTCTATAACCGATTTTCATTAAATTACACAAAATGTATAGATGCTGATTTCTTAAAGAAACTTGTTCATTACTATAAGTAGACCTATTATGAGGACTAATCTATAAAGGATTATGTATTTGGGGCTAAGCAAATGGAGCACATTCTTTCAGTGACCACTGAATTGATTATAACCTTTCACTATTAATACGCTTCAAGGCTGACTTTATTATTTTTTTCAATAATAATAATAATAATAATAATAATAAACTTTATTCTGCCGTTTCTCAGCAAATGTAATACACCGATGGCAAATTGCTGCCATCTACTGGTTGGTTCATTAGTTAAACACAACAAACACAATCACCTGAACCGTTTTACCATCTTTTTTGCTCCCTGCCGATAATTGAGTGTATGAAACCTAAAAATCCACTTAAGTGTAACCTTACTAGTATAGAGTACTGTAAAGAGTGATTTTCATTTTCCCATTTTTACAAGACAGAACCATATGTCTAACTTTTTTTTTTAGCACACACAAAAGTAGTCACATGAGTGCAAATTTCCTGTTACATCAATACAGCTAAGTACGACCTCCAACCTTAGGAATATCTTTTTTTATTGGCTACATTTGTACTTTATCGGGTCATCATTGCAGTAAAATATTTTGACCACAAGATGGCAATCTAAGAAAACAAGTTAACAAGTCTTGAGGAAAAGCATGAATATTGATAGTGAGGCCTGTATTAAAGACTCATAGATTCTGTTGCTCACAGCTGTCATTATTTGGAATGTATGTCTCGCTAAATAGTCCCTGGGGGATCTACTGATAGAAAATGAGAATCATTACAAACACCTTATCCATTATTGTACAAAACACTTAAACAAATTATTTATCTCTTATTTACTTGTATCATGTAATTATGTATGTATTATATTATTTATGTTTTTTTATTCAAATAATCCTATAGCAAATCTCAGTGTTAATTCTGAATATATAGAAATAGTTAGACTATTCAATTTTTAAAATTGTTATGCTGATTTGTAATAAAAACTGTTCACTCTCAGAAAAAAGGTACAAAAGCTGTCACTGGGGCAGTACCCTTTCAAAAGGTACTTGTATGTACCATTTAGGTACTAATATGTATATTTTATAGACCGATATGTGTTTGTCAGATGAAGCAAACTGAAATAAACCCCTGCATTCATTATTAATGTTAATTGACTCTAGGATCAGATCTAAGACGGAGATTGTAATTTGATAGCCACTTAGATGGTATGGATATCCTGCTCTATAAAAGCATTCTAGACCATGTGGCTGAATCAAATTATGCCATCTCACTGTAACATTACAAGTGGCTAAGATAGTTTCATGCTAGAAGGGTCGTGATTTAGATTGTAGGAATTGTTATGAATGCACAACCTCTATGGCTTTCCAAGGGTTGAAATCTGCATTAGTCAAAAAAATGTTAACTAGTGCTCTATATTCTACCTGCATGCGTGCAAACAAACATTCTTCTTTTGTGCTCAATTAACCAAATTAAATAATGAGTAAATAATGACAGAATTTAACACCACATATTAACATGTAAACATAACA